TGCTCTGAAGGTATTCAGTTGATTCTTCTGAGGTGAAGAATGCAAACAAAGAGTAAGCTTGAGGTTTTCTAGAAAGGTGGACATTGAACTCAAGGGTTTAAGCCAGTCCCGCGGGGAGGGGGGGGATAGAGAGAGGCGTGAGTCAACATAATGTCTAGTACCTTACCGATACAAAAGTATCTGTTTCAGACTATTGAGCTGATCAACTTTGAAAAACTCCCAGCTGGTGCTAACGGAATTATAGCTGTCATGTCGTACAGTGGATATGATATTGAAGATGCGCTGGTTCTGAACAAAGCATCACTCGATAGAGGTATCATTTCACTGTAAATCTATTTTTCTCCTTGGTCAGTAACGTAATTCAGGATATGGTCGGTGTCTGGTTTATAAACACGCTAAAGGAACAGCTAGGAAGTATCCAAATCAAACATATGATCGCCTCATGGGTCCTTCTTTAGATCCTCTTACAAGGAAACCGATCTACAAGCATAGGGTAGGTGTTTGTTTTACGAAGGTTGTTGCATTGAACCGATTTGACCAGCATACTTTGTTGTATGCACCACATGATAACCATGACGTAGCTGATGGGTTATACTGTGTGAGTACTGCTGAAACCTCTCTTTTTGTCCATCACTTCCTCTGTAATGCCACAAAAATGGCTCCTTTTTGAAGAAAAAGTTTCTCGGAAACGTGAGCAGCTTTCCGAGCTGGCTGATAGAGAAACTATTAGAGGGCAAGGGCAGTTGAAGGTGTATCGCTTACAGGTTCTCGATCAAGAAGGCATCGTTTTTGCCGGAGCACGTATCTCTTCCAAGCAAACTATGATCAACAAACATATGCCGGTTGTGTCCCAAGATAGTTCATCACCTACTGCTCAAGGTAAATTGTCTCAGAGAGGAGTGAAACCGAAATTGCTAAAAATAAGGGTATCCTCTGAAATTTTTTTTCGAATGTGAAGATGTTAGTGTTGAAGGAGTAGCAGTTCTTAAGCATCCTATATCATGTCGCGAATGTATTGTTTAGCACGTCGATTACTCGGAGGTACGCTCAATCGAATATAAAGACGTCTCCATCACCTATAAGAATCCCGTTCCGTCATATGCAGAACGTGTGCTGTTGACCTACAACGACGAGGAAGCGCATTTGGTGAAAGTTCTTCTGAGGCAAACAAGGTAAACACGTCACATTGGGAGCGGCATTATTTCCTGTATTTTGGGCAACATGTTTGCTACTTCTGTGATGGAATGTAAAAACTTCCCAAGTAACATCAGAAATGGGGTTTTGGTGGGGAAGGGATTTAGTCTGGTCAGTGGAACGTTCGTGAGTACTCGTTGAGAGCAGCTCTTTAGTAATGCAAAGATGTTCTTCAGGAACATTTTTCCACTCTTTGTCCTCACTTCAAAAACATGTGTGTTCACTCTGGGTCGGAATCGTAGTGAAATTTTGAATGCGATTGGTCTGCACAATGAATTACGGGAACCAGCCGATATGAAAGTCAGTGATTTTGTCCTACAAGACTATGCCAATCAACAAACTTTGGAGGAAAGAAGTCTTGAGTGGACGGAAAGGGAGGCAGTCCGAGATTCGACATCGGACCGTGTGCGCGGTAAGTGGCGCCACTTGCCACTACTGCCCAAGCACCTCGTCCCCCAAAATCCCTACCAACAACAGTTTTCACTCATTCTGCTTCTATATCGAACACATTCAGTAAAAAAAAGCGGTTAATCCCCCTCCCCCTTTCCGGAGCGTGGCAGATCTTCCGAAGAGGTCATCCAGCTACATCGGGTTTTCGCCGATTGCCTAGATCAGTGATGACAGCATCACGTTCAGCGTCCCCACAGTGAAATGATCAGCCTACAGGTTAGAAGTGTTCTGGCCTTTCAGGAGACTTGCACGATTCCATCTCCTCTTCTCCCTACCCACACTGCACCCTCCAATCTACCCAGAATTCATTTCCGAACTTCGGCATTTTCTCGTTTTCACCATGCTCTGTATAAGAATAGGATGGCTTTGGACGTTTCATCTATTATAGCATGTTCAACACTGATTGAGTATCATTGCAGGCGGCCGGAATTGGGAGACAAATTTTCTTCGCGACATGGACAAAAAGGAGTATGTGGTCTGATTGCGGCTCAGGTATTTTTCGTGCCCTTCTAGAGTTTTTTTGTTCAAAAAAAGGAAGCCCGTTTGCTGTTTCTTTCGCTGGATAATGAATCATTTTGCAGGAAGACATGCCGTTCAATGACCTTGGTATGGTGCCGGACATGATTATGAATCCGCATGGGTATCCATCTCGAATGACAGTAGGAAAACTTATGGAACTGCTCAGCAGCAAGAACGCAGTTCTAAGTGGCCGTTATCATTACGGAACAGCTTTCGGTGGTGATCAGGTCAGTGAGTTGTTAAAGGAAGCACCATAACAAATTCCGCGATGAGCGGGTGGGCGGAGACTCACGTCCGTCGTATCTTCCACATTGATGCGTCGCTCCAGAGTAAAAAAAAGAGGGGCGAGTCGATGCAGAAAGTGCAATTGTTGTGGGTTCCCACCCATTTGCTGATTGCAGGATATGTCTCTGAGCTCAAGTACTGTTTCAGGTGATTGACGTGTGTAACGAACTGGCATCTCGTGGATATAATTACCTGGGCAAAGATATGCTAACCAGTGGAATTACGGGTCAACAGCTCTCTGCGTACATATATTTTGGGCCAATATATTACCAAAAGCTCAAACATATGGTGCTTGACAAAATGCATGCGAGAGCACGAGGACCGAGGTAAAGTCCACTGGGAATTTATCATTGTTAGGCCTTTGATAAAAGGATCTAGATCCTTTCGGTCGTTTATTGGAGGTGAGCCGAAATAAAGTATCTGCTTAATTGTCGTTGCTGTTCAGGGCTGTGTTGACTCGCCAGCCTACAGAAGGTCGCTCCCGTGAAGGTGGACTGCGTTTGGGTGAAATGGAGCGTGACTGCTTGATTGCATACGGAGCATCTATGCTGTTGATGGAACGTTTAATGGTCTCATCTGATGAGTTCAAGGTGAGACTTCAGTTTAAGGTGTCCAACTGGCCGAACGTGAACCATAAGGTTGGGTAGGGATATAGTCTTGTTTGCTGATAAAGGGGCATGTTAGGCGGGACAAGTGTGGCGCAGCGCCAAGCCCGTTTTCTACCAGGTGTTGAAACGCGTATCTGACAACAACTGGTGGAAAACTGGTGGAAAACTACTGACACAAACAAAATGACGCAGTCTTGTCGCTTGTTTGCTTCTGCAAATGGCGGGAAACGGGTCTGGCGCTGCGTGAAACCCATCCCGCTTGACACGCCCCTTCATC